CCTGAGCAGCCCAGCACTCTCTCACCCAGTTTTGTGTAGCTGCACCAGGGAGAGAGATAAGGGTCTTGCTGGTGCCCACTCATGAGTAATTGGTAGGCACAGTGTCCTTGGGCTGGGGAGAATAAAGGCTTCCCGGAGAAAAAAAGGAATTAAATTGTATAATTAATGTTACTCCGCTAGGCACTTGAAGTCACACGGACCACTGCATTCTAATGTGGGATACAGCAAGAAAATAATTATATACATGCAGAATAATGGGGTGGAGAGTGGGGATGGAGGGGAATATCCTTCCCATAATCAATCAGCAAACATTTATTCCTATTATTCCTAGCCTATGCTAGGGACTGAGGATACAAAGTCAAAACCAAAGGTGTTCCTGACCTTAAGGAGGTTTACATTGTATTGTGTATGTGTTGAGGAGGAGGGGTTTGGGGGGGGGGGGGTGGAACAATATGAACCTACAAATACAGAAAGATGAAACAGGCACAAAGTAACTTCAGGTGTGTGTGTGGGGAATTATTAACCAGGGGCATCAGGATAGACCTTGTGTAGGCATGTGAGCTGAGCCTTGGAGGACCTAGGGATTCCAAGAGGCAGGAATGAGAAGGGTGAGCATTCCAGGCCTGGCTAACAGGCTGTACAAAAGTATGGAAGCCAGAGAGGGAATACATACACAGGAAACTGTGAGTTGGCTAGAATGAAGAGGTCATGAAGAAGACTATACAAAAGCCTGGAAATGCATATTGGATCCAGATTATAAAGGGCTCTACAATCTGCTGAAGGAAGGTTTTCCCAAATGATTTTCCATAAAAGAATACATCTTCACAAGTAATTAATCAAGAAACATTTATTAAGTACCTACTATGTGCCAGGCACTGTGCTAAGTGTGGGGGATATAAAAAGAGGTAAAAGACAATCTCTGCCCTCAAGGAGGTTACAGTCTAAGGCTGAGACAACACAGATATACAAAGCAAGCTAAGAAAGAGGCAACAATCAATCAATACAAATTTATTAAGCACCTACTATGTGCTAAGCACTGTGTACTAAGTGCTGGAAATACAAAAAGAGGCAAAAGACAACTCTTTGCCCTTAAGGAGCTTACAATCTAATAGGGGAGACAACATGCAAATATATATATAAAGCAAGCTACATACAGGATAAATAGGAAATAATTAAGAGAGGGAAGGCACTGGAATTAAGAGGGGTTGGAAAAGGTTTCCTGTAGAAGGTGGGATTTTAGATGGGACTTCGAAGAAGCGCAAGAGGTCAGTAGTCTTGGAGGAGGATGGAGAATATTCCAGGCATGATTACAAAGATAGAGGATTCAAGTTTCTGTTGTGTTTTACTTGTTTCCCTGGCTTGAAGACCCAGCTCAAATTTTACCTTCTGGAGGTGGTCTTTCCTAGTTCTCCCCCTTGCTAGTGCCTACCCTCTGAGATTACCTTCCTTTTAACATATATGTATGCATGTGTGCATATACGTATTTGTATATGTGTGTATATAATACATATATGCACGTGTATATAAATATATGGTATGTATGTAGTTATTTACTTGTGTCTCATATTAGAATGCAGCAATTCTTATACTTTTTAGTCTCAGAATCCCTTTATATTCTTAAAAATTATACAGGACCCCCAAAAGCTTTTTTATATAGATTATATCTATTGACATTTACTGTTTTAGAAATTAAAACTAATAAAAAAATTAAAATATAGTATTTTTAAATTCATTTTAAAGTGGCAATAACAATTCTATTACATGTTAACATAAACAACGTATTTTTATGGAAACAGCTATATTTTCCAAAACAAATTTACTGAGAAGAGTGGCATTATTTTAAAGATTTTTGTAAATCTCTTTAATGTCTATCTAATATCTAGTAATAGAAGACAGCTATATTCTTATATCTGCTTCTGCATTCAATCTATTGTGATATGGTGCTTTGGCTGAAGCCTGCAAAGAAAATCTAGCCTCATATAGACTTGTAGTTGAAAAAGGAGAGGAGTTATTTTAATAAGCAAAGACCCCAAGGGGTCCTCTGACCACATTTTGAAAACCACTGCTAGAATGCAAGCTCTGTGAGGGCAGGAATCAGGTTTTGTTTGGTATTTTTTTTTTTTTTTTTTTGCTTTTCTTTGTGTCCCCAGTGCTTAGATATAGGGCCTGACATATGATAAGCAATTAGTAAATGCTTATTTATTATTTGTTTGGCTCTCATTTTTTTTTTCAGTGAGGCAATCGGGGTTAAGTGACTTGCCCAAGGTCACATAGCTAGTACATGTTAAATGTTTGGTCTGAGGCCGGATTTGAACTCAGGTCCTCCTGACTTCGGGGCTGGTACTCTATCCACTTCACCACCTAGCTGCCCCATGTTTGGCTGTCATAACTGCCCTTAGGCAGAGATGTGCTTGAAACCACTTTACCCATCTTAGAGATCCCATTATTAAATTTTCAGTGGGAATATTTATTTATACCTAAGAAATAGGCAATAGCTACAAATCAGGACTTGATTTGTTGTTTTGTTAATTGTCCAAACTTAAGAAAGTTAGTGATGCATATTGAACTTAAAAGTACTCTTGAATATTCCCTCTCCCTTGTGAAACATTTAGCAGCACACTCCTGGATCGTTCTAAATGTTGTTTTGAAAGGGAGCAGTAGAAGGCTCAAGGAATGAAGTCATCACTAGACAGAAGGCCTGGTGAATGAGACTAAAAATAACAACTGCCACAATAATAGCTGGCATTTATATAGCACTTTAAGATTTGCAAAGTGCTTTACAAAATTCATTATCTCATTTGAGCCTCACCACACTTCTCCCCTATAGACACTTGAAGGTACTATTAGCCCCATTTTACAGAAAAGAGACTGAGGCTGAAAAAGGTTTGTTGATTCGCCCAAGGTCACACAGCTGATAAAAGTCTGATGGAGTATTTGAACATAAATCTCCCTGGTTTAATAAAAAAAAATCTATCTTTCTCTGTATCTTCATCTCTCCCAAAATAATACTTTTGAAAATAATGTGACAACAGGGTAGCAAGCAGAAAGAGAGACGTTGCAGGTCTCCCCTGCCCACAGCTTCTTCAGACCCATAAAAAATTTATAAGCTGCTCTTTCCTTGTTCTTCCTGTGCTGACTGAAGCTTCAGCTACCCAGGCATATCCCACTCTTGATCTGGAGTGATGCTCCATAAGTCAGCTTCATGGGTTTTCCAATGATCCTTAAACTATTTGATTATCCAGGGCTGGGCTGAGCTCCTGTCTGAGTGAGGTTCTCAGTCACCCCAGGGAGAAAAGCGAGGTGAGAGCAATTACTGCTACCCTAACATTTCCAATCTGAGTAAAAGTGAGAAAACTATATTTAACCTTTCCTTAGTCTCATGATGGAGACCACTGAAGTCAATGTGTGGCACAGTGGAAAGAGTATTGGCTCTGGGTTCCAGGCCAGGGGTCAGATTCTGCTTCTGGCATGTCTTAACTGTAGTGGTTGGGAAAGTCAGGTAAATCTTTCTGGACTTCATTTTCCTCAGCTGTAAAATGATGGGGTTGGATTAGATGTCCTTTGAGATCTAAATCAATGATACTCTGATGACCATATATGCTCCCCCTTGTCACAGACCCCTGAGGTTGAAGTGGTAGTGACTTCGTCTCTATTCAGAGGGAACAATGGTTGTTAGGGTAGTGTCACCTGGGAGGGGCCATAAGAAATTTATCTGGTCACAGCAGAGATCAGAGGAGACAAATTCTGGTCCCATCAGGCTCTGTCCCCTGGTCCTAGGAATCCAGACCTAAATCCACTGCCTGTAGAGGTTTTAAAGTTCCTTCCTCTGCATTTTTGGGTGAACTCTGGGGTCTCTGAAATACCCCACATTTAAGAGGCAATAGGCTGACTAGGTGACAGATAAACTTACCATCTGCAGTAGTTCTGAGGTACTTGAACTGGCTTGGATTTCCTATTTAATTCTTTACAATCCACTTATTGAAGACTTCCTTCTCAGTCCTAGGGGAGTGGAAAGTAGATGCCAAAAAAGAGAAAGACCTGTGGATTATTGTGCTTAAAGAGAAAGGTAAGGTGGCTTGAGCCCAGGCTACAAACTGCTCCATTCTCATCCCTGGGTGACTATTTCCATTCTAATCCTCTTCCAAGAGAATCCCAGCCAAGAGATCAATGGGGAGTTGATCAACAATTGAACAGATAACAGGTGAGGAATCAGAAGAAGAATGTGCATTACTGCAACCCAATCATAAATATCTGCTTGATGGTCAAGGGCTGGGAGAGGAAACTGACCTCTTGCCCTGCTTTATTTCCTCCCTCTCATCTCTCCTCCACCCCCACCCCTCCATCCCCCCCTACTTTCTCTGTTTGTAACTGTACCCTTTCTAATGCATTTCCCTACTCCAAGAATGATATCCCTTGAATGTCCTGGTCCCTCCTTCTGTCATAACTCCCACAAAGCCTGCCTGATTTTCATTGATACTTGACTTCCTGAAGCATGTGATGATCACCCAAAAGACTCTGAGGATCTAGGAAAAGTCACAGTAGGCAGAAGGGGCCACAGCCATCTCTTCCACTAGGTAGCAAAATGTCTGTTCTGTTGTTCAGCTCTGTCCAACTCTTCCTGACCTTGAGGTTTGCCATTTCCTTCTCAAGCTCATTTTATAGATGAGGAAACTGAGACCAACAGGGTTAAATGACTTGCCCAAGATCACACAGCTAGTAAGTGTCTGAGGTCACATTTGAACTGGGGAAGATGAGTCTGCCTGATTACAGGTCTAGCACTCTATCAACTGTCTGTTCTGTGCAGCGATCTTTTCAGGTGGGAAAGAGATAAAGGTTTGGGAAAATGGCAATCATGAATAGGTAGAAGGGAGGAGGAACTTCCAAGGGAGGTGGAAAGATGCTTTGAACTTCTGTAGAAACAGAAATTCCCCAGATCCCACATTCTAAATCTCAGACCCTCCTCAATTTCCTTTTTAGAGCTGAATCCCACTTGCAGCATCATGCATTATTCCATTCGACGCTCTGTCCTGGCGTTTCCTGCATCCATTCTTCTGGGCTTCCTCCTCAGCCTGGGAGCTACCAAAGAAATTGAGGAAGATCAGGTTGTGGTGAGTAAAAGAGCCAGCAGTGGAGTGAAAACAAAAAGGAGGCACTTGTAAGACAGAATCTACCAAGTTCCATATTGTATAATGAAATATAGACTGCCTGTGCTATAAGAATTCAGAATAGAGGGCTAGGGATTTAGTGAAGGAAGAAAATGAGCATTTATAGAATTCCTACTATGTCAGGCACAGTGCTAATTGCTTTACAAATTTTTCATTTGATTCCCACAACAACCCTGTTAGGTAAGTGAGAGTCAACATTATAAAGGAAATAGGTAGGATCTAAACTGGACCTTGGTAGAAGCTGAACAAAGTAAATTGGGGTGGGGAGAGCATTCTAGCATTGAACATCGTCAAAGCTATGGAGGCTGGTCAAGCTCAGTCCTGAAGAAGTGATATGAGAACATCAGCAAAGTTTATATGTCATCCTCAAGGTAACGGTGGCATAGGAATTCATAGTAGAGGGGGGTGACTTGGTCATACCTGTGCTTTTGGAAAATCCCTTTGGCAGCTATATAGAGGAATGGGGAAGATTTGAGAGAGGAAGATGAAATAAGAAGCTGTTGTAGTCATCCAGGGCAAGAATTGACTGTGGGACTGAACTAGGGTGGTGGCTGGTGAATGGGGAGGAGAATGTATAGGTAGTTTGGTGACTGATGAGAGACATATGGAATGAGTGAGAACAAGGTGTTGAGTATGACACCAAGGTTGTAAATCTTGATGAATGGAAGAACAGTAGTACATCCTCAACAATAAAGGGTAAGTTTGGAAGAGGAGTAGGTTTGGGGAGAAAAGTAAGGAGTTCTGTTTTGGACATTCTGAGTTTGAGATGCCTATGGGACATTCAGTTTGAAATGTCCAGATAGCAGACTGGAGCTCAGTAGTGAGAAAGTTGATTCCTTGAAAGCCCCAAATCAGTATTTGTCAGTTCATCATCCTTCCATAAGGGTAGTGATTTTAAGTTCTGTATATTAGGCTTCAGAGCTGTCAGCTGCAGATTCTAAGTTCACTGGCTTAATCATAGGAAGTTAACCAGAGGCCCTTCACCCTTGTTTTTCCTTGTCATGGTGACCGAGCCCAGTATGGTGGAGGTGACTGAACTACATGGAAAGTCCTCCAAAATCTATTTCTGTCCCTCTGGACCATTCTCTCTTGTCCAACATGAGCAGGTGTCCATCTTATGACCACCCTATGCCTACCTAGTCTGTGGCTATATTCTTTGCTTCACCCAACTCGTAACCATGCTGACAAATCATTTTTGCTTATGAATCATATGTCAACCAATGGAATTATTCTGTGCTTGGTATAGCTGTTCTTGAATGTTTAAAATATCTAACCCTATAAAAATAGGGCCTTGGAAGAAGGGGACATCTCAGATTGTAAGGAAGATCTGAGGTCCACGTCATTAGAGGGGATCATGGACCCTTTAATAAAGTACCATGGGCTCAGAGCTCTGTCTCAGTTTTTCTTATTGTAGAATGGATAATTTTTATCACCACAGTAGAAAGACTAGATCTGGAGGCACACCTCCTCTCTTTCTCTCTCATGCCACACCACCACCTCCCGGTTTCTATCTCTACATACACACATACACACACACACACACACACACACACACACACACACACATCCTCTACTATACTGGGGTGTACAGGGAGGGCTAGCACCTCTGATGTAAGGGCTTGCTGAGCCCTTATCCGGGCTTTCATCCATTTTCCACCTTTTACCCAACTCTCACCTGTGGCTTCAAGAAGCTGTAGCATGTGCATTGGCCATACTTTAATAAAACTATCTTGGCAGACAGGCTAAACCAAGTTGGGGCAATCAATAGGCCTTAAACCTTTTGGTAAGTTAGAGGGATGAGTACCCTAAGCATGTGAAGACTTCCCCACTCCACCCCGGGAATGAGCAGATGAGAATAATTTATTCAAAGGCCATGAAGCAGGTTCTGTGGAGTGCTTAGAGCTGGGTCAGACATCAAAGATAAAAAGGTCATCCACTGCATCCTGGGCCATCTCCAGTCATCCTGACTTTTGTCTTGCCATTGACTCTGGAAGAGAGAGTGAGGCTAATGACTGTAACTGTACCTTACTTAAATCTAATTCATGTGAAAGTCAAGACATCACTCATGATGTCATCGGTCCTCTTCAAAAACAAAGGATGAACAACTGCTATACTAATAACTATAGATAGATATAGAACAAGAACAAGATTTGGTATCCAAATGGATATGTGGGGACAGTAAGAGTGAGAACAGAAAGGTTGTGAACCACTTAGTTAACTTCACTACTCAAGCCTTTGCTCCCCAAAGCAGCCACTAGGAGATTGGAGGAGGTGGCAGGTGGGGAAGGGGGAATGAGAGAGAAAAGCAGTTGGTAAGTATGGGGCAGGGTTCAAACTTTCCTGGCACCTGTGCCATTGTTACTTTGGGTACCTAGGTAAATAATAACTGCTCCCAGAACAGAAGAGGTTGGAAGCTTGCACAGTGGAGGGAAGGGGGTAGAATAAAGAAGTGTTGGTGGGGAAAGGGTAGGTCTGGTTGTGTTGGAGATATGTCCCAAAGCCTAACATCACTAAGAGGTGGCCTGTTGGGTGATTATATGACCCACTTTGGAGACCACATCAGGGAGGCTTTGAGTGGGGTGTCTGGGAAGGCTGAAACTACTCCCATCCCCAGGAGGAAAAGAAGATTGTGGCTTGGATGATCACCCAGGAGCAAATCACCTCTGTGAGCAAAAGTCACTTGAAGACTTTCAAAGAAATCCAGAACCCCTCAGAGCTTAGTAATGCCTCCTATCAACAGTTGGCTGGAACCCTGCCCATCAAGAAAAGTAAGTTGCATCAAGGGGTCCTGGGGAGACATGGGGTCGTAGATGTAATTAAGAAGGGATCTTCAAGGCCATCAAATCCAACCCTCTCATTTAACAAATGAATAAACTGGGACTGAGACAGGTAAACATGACTTACCCAAGGTCACACAAGTGTCTGAGGCAGGATTCCAATGGAAATTTTCTGATTCTAAGCACAGCACTTTATCTGTCCCACCTCTTAGGAAGTCTAGAGCTGTCAGGAGGATGGAGGGTATAACAGCTGACAGGAAGATGTTCAATAGGAAGAAGAAAGCTATTGGGGAAGAGAAGGGAAAAAATACTGACAGGCAGGGCTGTTGCCCATGAGACTTTAAATTTAGAAACCTAGAATCTTGGTTCCATTACTCTCCCCAAACTCAGTCTGCACTAAAACTAGTAACATCAAGCCCTGCCACTCTTCATCCCCCAACAAGCTAAACCTATCCACTGGTCATTCTATGCTAAGTTCATTCTTAGCAGAGCTTTGGCAATGGTAGGGAAGAAGAAAAGGAAGACCTGTGGCAGAGACGCTGAATAAAATGAGAAGGAAAAGATGAGAAAGTCCAAACATCCTCTTCTGGGAAGAGGTAGAGTAGGGGGTGGGGAATGTACATGTGAAAGACTGCATATAAAGCCAGACCTTTTCCATGTGTTGGTTAGTTTTGCTGCACTGTTTTTCCTCATTTCTGTTCTTTGTTCTAAGGGTAGAGGCTCTCTGGTAGGGTTTCATTGGGAAATGTAGGTAATATGAAACCAAAAGATATTTTTTAAAAGGGAAGGTGCTAAGAGAAGGAATGGATACTTGAGGGTAGGTGGATGTTTTTCACAGTGTACTAGAACCCCAGAATTTTGGGGTCCTTATAGGACTATACATACACACACACACACACACACACACACACACACACACACACACACACA